CTTCATTTCTTTGTGGAACATTTGGAATTGCTTGTTGTACCGTTATCACAGCTGTGGGTGTACCCTTATATCTCAGACTGTGATTGGTTATATGTACCTAGAACTCCTTAGACATGCACTGGATCTTCATGGAATAGTTTTTGAAGACCCAGACAGATAAATAAATCCATAGATGATAAATGATTTGCAATGATAGTCTCCTGGTTTCTCTTTGCATGCTCTGGGGCACCAAGTTCCTTCCACTTAGGAAACACATGGGATTACATAGTCTATGAAACAGCATATCCTAAAGATATTTTTACAAACTGTACTTTAACATCACTCATGGTAATGCTATTAATGACTTAGAATTCTGGGACCAGGTAGTTTTTGAGGAATAACATCCAACATTTATGAGCAATAAATCATGAAAACTAATTTGTCTGTGTCCTAAAGTAACCTTTGAGAGAACCCCAAGCCTCTACTCAGAACACTTTGCTCACACAGTTTCTGGACTCAATTTCCAACTGACAGTCAGTATTTCTCTGTCTTTCTCGCTTGACCCTCCCCACTATATTTTACATAACGACAACTTTTATGAAAATGGTCGAACATGTTAAAATGATTTTTAAAGATGCTGTGACCATTAGAATGAAGGTGTATGGGAGATTTCTCTACATCACGTTATACGCTGGCAAAAGCTGAAAGTGTAGCAAAAACATTTCGCCTTCTGGAGCAAAAGTGCACTGATGTTTCGATACTGAAAAAAAACAAACTGGTGGTGTTCAAAGACAGAAAGCAACTTCAAGCAGATGGGTACCATTCACGATTACAGTGACCTCAGCATCACTGAATCCACTTTGCTCATTCAGCTCAGCAACCAGGGTTAAAACCAAGCTTTACTACATTTGTCAGTACAGACACAACGCCATAGCACAGAAGTGTAGTTTCGCAGCATGTCAACCTCTCTGAGGGTAACCTGACAGTCACTGGGGTACAAACAAGAACAGGTTTGGTCTCTGTTCCAGGCTCTCCAAAAAATACAAAGTGATAAAAATGATGGGGAAACTACAATTCTGATGAATTAGTCAGTGCACAGAAATAAAATAGAATGATCATCCTACCCAAAACTGTTAAAATTGCAGCCTGTACCAGACTCCAAAGCTGATGCAGTATAACAAACAAAGCCAGAACTGTCAGGCACAAAGCTATTTCCTGCAGAAAAGAAAACACACAAGACACCAAGGCTTCACGTTTAGCCAGAGCTCTGACAACAGATCAGTATCACAGTGGGATTGGCCGCGAGCAGCCTAACGGTGTTGCGGAAGTCTCACAGGACAGCACAATGTGAAACTGCTCCGCTAACCAGAGCTCTGGGACAACAGCTGAGCCAATACTAAACATTCAAAAATCAAAGTTATCAGCATTTAGCCCGAAACAAGAATGTTTCCTAATAGCCAGTTAGGAAATAGCTCTCCTAACTTCTGACCGCTTGCAACAAAAAAGGAATAATATACTCACATCCTTTGATTAGCGGCATGTTATTCTACGGGTTGGATTTAGCAGTTGACTTGAAACTGTTAAATTTACGGGTTGTCTGTTGCCGGCGCAAATGTAAGCAAATTATTCCACAGCAGGTAAAAACATTAGGAAACGTGACGGAGGGTGTCTCGCTTGAAACACGACACTTGTTTCAGGAGATTAACTAATCCCCCCAGTGGCAAAGGGCCAGCCCTGTGGGGTCAAAGGTCAGGAAAGACTGCCCAGTGACTGCGACGTCTCTCCATGTCACCAAACAGCATGTGACTGCCGGGTTATGAAACCACAGTGGTGGCTTTTATTTCAAATATTAAAATAAGCCATATCAAAATCAGCTGTGAAATGCAGTTTGTTTCTGTATGTGTGAGTGACTAACCACTTGTTGCACATTTTCCATCCAGGAGATATCCCGCAAAACTCACACGTAATTATTTATTTTATTTTTCTTACAGAGAACGGGAATGAAATTGATTTACGTGTCCCTGGCAGCGTGTCAGCTGCGCTTGTGAAATGTTTCCCAGGAAACAGTTGCCGGGCGGTCACTGACCTGAGAGGAAGACGTTGTGGAGCTAGGCTCCTTTTTGGCTGAGTCCAGGCCTTCGGTCTGTGCTGCGTTCTCCTTGCCCCCCTCGTCTAGCGCCGACACCGGCACCTGCCCCTGGGCCACGCCTTCCCCCGGCCGCCCAATCGGGGGCCTGTACCAGCCAGGGTACAGCAAGGGGTCCGCGGTGCCTCTCCCGGCCTCCTGAACCCCCTTAACGACACCACAGGGAGGGGAGACAGACAGAGCACAGGCCCGGCTTCAGTATGGCCACGCCCCCTCCCTCGCCCCTCTTCCCGCCCTCGCCTGGGCGTGGTGAGAAACGGGCGTGGCGCGAGAGGAGAGGAGAGTTCCACTCTCTCTTCTGGCAGCGGCGGCGTTTGGCGAGCGGCGCTCGCGGTTTTTTTCTGAAGCGATGCGACGGAGCGGTCATGCAGGAGGGCGGGTGGACAGCGGAGGCACCGAGGATGATGCGGCGTGGAATGGTTTCTCGTGCAACGACATGAGCGCAGACATCGATGAACTCGGGGGTTTTGTTTGTTTGTTTGTTTGTCTTTTTAATGATTGTGATAATGGTAGCCATTCCACTAGGTATGATGGGGTGTCCCATTAACACATGGCTATGGCTATGGTTGAACATGATGGCGGATCCGCCAGGCGGAGGTTTCCTGACTCACAGGGCTCCTGTGCTGGCCTTTGGCCCAGGTTAGGATGGTGTCACATGGCATGCAGATGGATTTTCGTCCAGGCGGAGCGCGAACAGACCTGAACTTTGTGCTCATGCACATTAGCGCAAACCCGCATGCAAATGACACTCAGTGTGAATGACGTGCAACAGAGCGGCCGATAATTACTGCTCTGAAAACACCAAACACACCCGCCTCCCCCTCCACTGCCCCCCCGGTCCCCTCCCCCGTCCCCACCCCCTGCATGCAGCCGTCGCGCAGTCTGATAGCTTGCAGGTGTCTCTTGACCCCCCGCCAACCAGTGTTATTTCCAGCATCATGTCTGAGCACAAAGAGTCCCTGCTGCTCTGTTCCCTTCTCACACAGAGGCAAGGCGCTTTACTCTCTCCGCTGGATCCCAGCGGGGACTTGGCAGCTACTTTTCTCCCCGGCTCAAGATCAGTGAGTGGTCCCCGTAAGCGCTTGCTTGCAAAATGCGAATGCCACAACGGACGCAGCCGAGAAGAGTGTGGGAGGGGGTGTGTTTCGCTGATGATGTCACACTGCGTGTGGCGATTTCATCTGCTTGGTGAATGTGCATGGACACACCAAGTACCTAGAGTACACTCAACCTGTAAAGAATGGTACATAAGAGCCTTCCAGGCATAGTGTCATTATTCAGTCATTTATTTGGCAGATGCTCCTTTTCACAGCTACTTATGTGGCCAAAATAGCCAGATACATTTACTGTACTGCACAGGGAGCAAAGCTAACAGAGGTACAGCCTGATATAGAGACATATATATATATATATATATATATATATATATATATATACACATATACATATATATACACATATACATATATATGCATATATAGGAAAATGTTTGAATGCTCACTCTAACAAAAAAAACAAACAAATAAACAAAAGAGGGTAAAAATAAAGACCAGGAAGAGATGGGAGAATTCAAAACGTACAAATTTAATCAGGTGGGATTTCTCAGGTGTACGCCATAGCGAGAAGTCCTGGCACCACTAGGGGGAGCCAGTGAGCCCGCACTCCTGCCCACCCAGAGTGAGAGTCCCGTGGGGGGTGCCCCAGCGGCGTGGGGTACGAGAGGGGTCAGACTCTCACCTGTGCCGGGGCGTCGGCCGGCTGGGCGGTGCCCGGGGGGGCAGGGGCGGCGGCAGGTTCGGCTGTGCTGCGGGGCTGTTGGGGCGGGGCTTGCTGGGGGGGCGCTGGCTGCTTCGGCTGAGGCTGGGGGTGGGGCTTCGCACCCGGGGCCGCCCCCCCAGCACCCTGCGCCGGCTCCAGCTGGGCCCCCGCGGCAGCCGCGCCTTCCTCTCCTCCCTCTTCCTCATCTTCGTCTTCCTCCTCATCCTCGTCCTCTTCTGCAATCGAGACAGACAGAGTCTTCCCCTTAAACAGGAAGGAAGGCTGGATGTGTCCTGAGTAGGATTTTATCACTTCATTTCAACAGATAAGGGCAGCTGAAACAGCTTGCACATGGATACAGACAGCGCTATTTCACAAAGTTTCACAACCATCCAAACGAATTTTTGTCCCCTGAGTGTGTGTTCAGGCCAACTCACCCTGTGGCCTATATAAACACCCGTTTGAAGACCACATAGAGATTTTTCCCTGCATTCGGTCATACAACTCCTGCTTATAACCTTGGACCCTGTTTGCGATGGGGTTTGAAGGAATGCATTGCGCAATAAAACTGGGGACTGGCTGTTATTTAACAAACACATTCCATTAAGTACAAGTCCTAGTACAAGTACAACTCCTTGGGTGGAACAGAGACACCTCCTACATGTCTCGACCCTGCAACACTGAAAGTCCATCTCTGTAAGCAGTATACCACACCACCACCCTATTCACATATCTGAGGCATTTGCACTATGGGAAAGAGCCTCTTTTCAAGCATCAGTACAGGTTGCTGGTGAAGCACTGAGACTGTGACTGACACCCTTACGTAGGATACAGGTAAACCATGTGAATACAAAGACGACCCTGAGATCACCTGCTCAGTGTCTCATTACACTACATTACATTATTGTCATTTAGTAGAGTGACACCCGGGGTGATGACGGGACACCTGGTCCACCCCATCTCATTACATTACATCACATTATTGGCATTTAGCAGACGCTCTTATCCAGAGCGACTTACATCAATTACAGTTTTTTACAATGCAGTCCATTTATACAGCTGGATATTTACTGAGGGAATTCTGGGTGAAGTACCTTGCCCAAGGGTACAGCAGCAGTGCCACAGGCGGGAATTGAACCAGCAACCACTTGGTTACGAGCCCTGCTCCTCATCGCTACGCTACACTGCCGCCCTCTCTGTGTCTCTGTGTGAGCTCCTCATTACCTTTGACGAAGTCGATGTTGCGCAGAGCTCTCCCCTGCCTCTCGAAGCTGGCCGTGAAGTGGTCCATGTTCTCGTACCCGCGCTCCACTTTGTCCAGGTGAGCCGTGCTCGAGGCCTGGCTGATCCTGCCGCAGACGGAGAGGTCAAAGGTCATTTTCGGAGTCGCTCCAGGAAGCCAGTGTCACAGTAAAGAAAAAGTCACGAGTGCGTACTTACTTCTGTAGAAGTGGTTTGGCACTCTGTAAAACAGAAAAAAAGTAGATTACAGACAATTCACTTTGTATAATTTAGCGTGACTTTATTTCACATTAAGTCCTTCATTGCAAAATGGTGACTTTTGGGCTATCTGCTAGAACAAAAACTGCATGTGAATGTCTGTATCTTAATATTATAATCTACAGTCAAATGACAATCAAATGACATGGGCGGTTTCGAACCCGTGCTATGGGGCTCAGCCTACACTTGAAACCAGTGGTTTTGCCTGAACCATTCAAGAACCCAGTTATGAACATTCCTGCGATGTTGTGGTCTAGAAAAGAGTATCCACAACCAGCATGGAAAGGCAAAACAGCACCTGATCTTCCTGTTACCAACCAGAACCTCTAAGAGGTAGGACAAAAGAAACCCTGGTCACAGCAGACGGAGAAGCTGTGGAGAAAGGGTGTGACCTGCAGGAACACGGCCATCTCGGGCTCCTCCATGGTCTGGATCCCTGTCTCCACCACCTTGGACATGGTCTCCAGGTGGTCGCCGTACTTCCTCTGCAGCCCCCGGATGTAGCTGAGCTTCTCGTCCTGCTCCGCTGCGATCTTCAAGTTCATCTCGCCCTTGCGGTCCTCCAGGATGGTGTACAGGTGGTCGAACTTCTCGCACACCTGCGACTTCTGCCTCCGCCCGTTCTCCTGGGAGTAACAAGCAGAGAAAAAAAAACCAACCTGATGGATTATGGGGGGTTCTGGGATACACTGGTTTAGAATGGGGGTGTGTGAATGCTGTAATGTGGGGTGGAATAGGATGGAATGGAAGTGGAATGGAATGGAATGAAAGTGGAATGAAATGGAAGTGGAATGGAAGTGGAATGGAATTGGAAAGGAAGTGGAATGGAATGGAAGTGGAATGGGATGAAATGTAACTGCCTGGTGTAGCCATGGGCTGCTGGAGTGCTGAAGTGCAGAGGCAGCCTCAGGTTTATGAGGGGGAGGGACGCACCTCGATGATCCTGCAGGTCTCCTCCAGCTGGCTGATAATGCCCTGGATCCGGTCGTTGTTCCCCACCAGCATGGCTATCCCATCACTCAGCTCCGTCTGGACCAATCACACACACACACACACACACACATACAGGCGTGCACACACACGCGCGCACACACACACACACACACACACACACACACACACACACACACACACAGAGGCACACACATGCACACACAAACACGCACACATTCAAGCAGAGACACGTGAAACAGTTGCATGGAGAGAGAGAAGTCCATCAGTACAAGGGAGTGACAGAGAGAATAAAGAGAGAGAGCAACAGAGAGGAAATGATACAGAAAGAGACTGGGAGAGATAGAGAAAATGACAGGTAGAGACAGGAGAGAGGGACATATCACCTTCTGTTTCTGGTATACGCTGTTGAGCGGAGCGACCTCGCAGTCTTTGTGGCTTCCGAACACCTTGCAGAGGGAGCAGGTGGGCACGCCACAGGTCACGCAGTAGATGTTGATCTTCTCATCCTCGTGTTCCTCACACATCGGCTGGTCCACCTTCCGCTCCGGGGCCGGCTTGCTGCCACTGGCAGACGGTGGGGGGTTACACAGTCACAGTGGGCTCAGAGTCACAGTAACAATGCTGTCACAGTCACAATGATGAGTCAGTGTCACAATGACATCACAATCAGAGCCACAATGCAGTCACTGTCACACAGACACATTTGTCGCAACAGTGACGTCACAGTCACAATAGAATCATGTTCACAATGGAGTCATGGGGGAGTCAATGTCACAAAAGATCCCAATCATTTTAATATCAGAGATATGTGATCTAATCAGTTCTAAAACAACAGAAAAACAGTGGGGAAAACAGTGGTATTTTTACCCATGCAATGCTACAAACCACCCAATAAAGCTGCAGTTCCATCAGTCTATTATCTCACAGTCTTGGAATGTTCATAACAAAGACTGTTCATACCAACACCAAATCAATCAATCAATTCACAAAGCATTTCTAGTCTGATTACCCGAAACAGTATTTATACTGAAATAAAGTAATTTGTCAGACTCTACATTCAGCAGTTCATGAGCACAAATACTCGATAGCATCAGTATAATATCATTATATTGACATAGGATGGAGAAACAGTCAGGTGTGGTTGCAAACTGACACTTAAAGTGCTCAAACATACTCTTCATTCCCTTCCCATATTTTCCCTGTATCCAATAAGCACGCTTGCACTCAAGATTTAAAATCACAGAAAAATACAGATGGCAGAGCCCAGCTGACCCATGATTTGTTCATAGCTCAAGAGGTAACAGTAGTTGTAACTAACAGATTATGTTAGGAAAACTACTTTTCACTTGCTCTATACCCTTTCCATTGATAGTTATGGATCTACTGCCTTTAGCAGTGCCAGTGCCTCAATATTCATGAGAAGGTAATAAGAACACTTTTAGCCTCAACAACAGCAGCTTTAAGTTAGCGATGCTGAGAACAAAGAACAGAATATCTGTTCAGTAAATAGAGTATCTGTGACTGCACCTCTCTCAGTGCATGTGTAACAGGAATCACACCACTCTGGACGAACAAGGGAATCCTCTCTCTCTCTGTCTCTCTCTGGTGGAAGTACACCAGGCTTATGCACAGTCACAACAGCTCATTCAAACTGCTACAGGGTGTTCTGCTTGGCTCTCGCCCTGAGCAGAAGAGCTGGGGTACAACAGGTAAACCCCTGCTCCGTAAACTACCCTTCCAGATGATGACCACTTGTGCATGATCACAAACCTGGCTGCCATACCGTACTGGTATCCTCTGATAAACACTTAATTTCAATTCTTCCCTTGCTGTTGTGGGAAGGTTTGTAAAACCGTTCCTCTGCTGTTAATCCTGTCCCCCACAATTGCACCTATATGATCCTCCCTAACTCTGTGGACTTATGCTCCTCATGACTGCACCATGAATGTTAAGAGAATGTAGTTAAGTAGATACATTGCGATGCAGTACTCACATGAACATTAACACCAGTGTCCCCCTCCTCCAGTGCTCAGGTGAAACATTAAACAATGCACATGAGGCATTTTCCTTCTTTCTTTTTATTTTTGATAATGGCCATCACCTGGCCATATTGCAGAGCCATTCAATTTATTTAGCTCCCGGAGCCAGAGGATTTTGTTTTGCTCATTTTAAACGTCAACGCAGCAGCACAGAACACCAGAGAACACTCCACTTTCCTCCATATACTCTTGGTCTACACTGCAAAGACATCCCAGGGTCCACAGTCACCTCAATGAGTTTTCTGTGATGATGTGAACTGATGCCTGAGCGCACCCCAGAGCTACCCTCAGAACCGCGCCGAAAACAGAGAAATACACAGCGCTAACATGCACGATTGATCAGTTTATTAATGCAAGTTCAAAATCAAATGAGGAAACAGCGCCACCGGGGCAAAGAGGAGAAAAATGGAACTGCATTGTAACAGCCAACAACTTCGACCAGTAAAATGAACCTTGAAGTATGAACAAAAAAAAAAAGAAGAAAAATGATTCCTACCATTCTTAACAGATCATAGTCACTGATTTGGTTTACTCTTCAAGCTAAACATCCAGTTATTCGTTATGTTAAAATTATGAAAACTGAAATGTAGGCTACCAGGGGCTACCATTGTGTCATATTCACCTGCAGGACAAAACTGCAGGCAGTGAAAAGACAGCACCTACTTTTGCTGCATCTGGAGCTATGACTGACAAAAAAGCACCTGTCTAATGACTGATGACTGTACTGGTTTCAAGCACCACAAATCCAGTGTAGTCACATACAACTTCACAGAGTCTGATGGGGTATATGTTGGTGTCCTACAACATGGCACAGATACTTTTGAAAAAAAAAAAAAGATCGTATCATTAGTTGCTGACAAGTCAGCAGTGTTTCACATAAAAATACATGTGCCCGCTTCATGGCAGTAGAATATACTGCATGGATGTCAGTAGGATCTCACATGCTCATACTTCAGTCAAATATAAATAGTCTTCACTTCACGGTTGCTTCACTGGCCTACATATAAAAATAGTTCAAACTAACATGTCACTTCAGGCCCCAGTTCAACAAACAACCTTGTCCAGTTCTCAGACTACCATATAGAACAAACCCGCGCCTGGTTCTTTTTTTAATACAGACAGGAGCCATTTGTTTGAGGGGATTCTCAGCAATGTGTCATGAGTGGTTTTGATCTTCTGGAGGTTCTGGATGTCTTGACAGGGCCCCAGGCTGTGGTGAGCGTGGAGAGGGCACAGGGCTGAGCTCACGCACTGACACTGTGAACTGAAAACTGGCGCAAGACAATGGACAGGCATAACAGGGCTATCCACGACAACCCATCACAAGTGCTGTAAGAGTCACCAGCGTATCACAAGTCCCTGCTACATCCAACCAACACCAGTCCTCTCCATGATCGTAACCCGAGAGCTGTTTGCGTGATAACAACCAGAATGACAGCCGACACAAATTCAAGAAATGCTCTGGATTTCCCACCTGGCAAACTCCTGCTTGTGCAAGTACAGAGTCTCACCTGATGAACTACTGCATGTACATGTGTAGTGTCTCACCTGGTGGAATCCTGTGTGTACAAGTGTACACTCTCACCTGGCAGACCCCTGCTTGTACAAGTGTAAAGTTTCACCCAGTGGACTCCTGCTTGTACCAGTGTAAAGTCTCACCTGGCGGACCCCTACTCGTACGTGTCACCTGATGGAC